TTGGGTTTTAAATAACATTTTACAATAGAGAGCAGTTGGGAGGAGAATTGCTTCTGTTAGCATTGGGAAATCTACATGCAATGTACCTGTTAGCTTTTGTTTGTGTGTGCATCAGAGAAAACATTTTGGAGCAGCTTGATTTTGTTTGTGTGTGCATTGGCAAAACATCCAATAGTTGCTGCAATGAGTGCTCTCAATTTTTCGATATTGAGAGTTCATGACTTGGAATTTTTCGATATCCAGATGCTTAGAACACTGATTATAATAATGTTTTGATTTTGTTTTCCCTGTATAGGCACAAACAAAAGCAATCTACTCCCAATATGTTTGTTACTTGGAATACTGTTTCAATTCATTTGAATGTTTAGTACTTTTGTACCCTTACAAATTTGCTTTATAAAACTATCATGGATTGTCTTCTGTGGATGTAGGTCATTGGCCGAACTTCATAAACCTTTCGTTTACTTGTTTTTTTTTTTTCTATTTGTAAATTGCAACGTTGTGGAAATTATGTTGGTGTCGGTGTTTATTTATAATTTATTATTTCTTAAAATTGCATAGGATTACTTTATAATTTGTGGAATTTATCTCGATAAAGTTGGGCTATTTTTTTACACATTTAGAAAGTACTTATTTTCTTTTGTTCTCTATAGTTTCAACATGTCTAAGACGACTGAAAGGGGGTCTGTTCGCAATGTGGGATAAATAAGTAATAAATATTTTTTGCGATCTATGTATTAAAGAAATTGAACTGGGGAACAGACCAACCACATATATTAATAAGAAATGTTAGTAAAATATTGCTAAGAGGTTCAAAGAATTGACTATAAGAGATTACGATAAGCTTAAATTAAAAAACAAATGAGACCAATTGAAGAAGAAATGCAAAATATGGAAGGAGCTGAAACATAGATCTACCGGTTTGGGTTGGGATCCCGTTAAACAAACTATCGATGCTCCAGATGAATGGTGGGCTAAAAGATTATGGTGGGCTAAAAGATTGGATTGGAGGTAATAAATACAAACTTGTATTGTTAATTCCATTATTTTTGGTTAATTCCTAAACCTCTCTAATTCCACTCAATGTTGCAGGTCATGCCAACAACCAAAAAATATAGGTAGTGCGGAATTGTGCCAGAGTTCGAGAAAAAACTGGACATAATATTTAAGGGGGTTGTCGCGATTGGAAAGAATGCATTCAACCCAAGTAAATTGGAATTTGCAGGAATGAGTTCTAGGATTATGTTTAAAGGATTGTTACGACTGGAAAGAATCATTTATTTTTATATGTGAAGCTTAATTTAATTTTATAATCTGACAAATTATATTTTTGATTGTTTTATCTCAGTAGCAGTATGAGCTCTAGGATTTCAGGGACCTCCTGAGTTGTGTTGTGTAACTGCGGACTACCGGCTCCCTTACTCACGTCACGCCAGCCACAAAACAGTGAGAGATAGTTCTATAGTTGTCAGAGGGGTGTTTCAACAAGATGCGGTTTCTTCCGTTGGGCCGACATTCCGACATACTCCCATGTCGACAGTGATCGTGTTACGATGGTTTCCCAAGAGGACAGTGCTGTTGAGGATAGACAACGCCAGAGTTTTAAATTGAATGTTTTAACATTTTTACTTGTAATTGTGAATGTCTTTCTTCTTATTTTATTTGTTTTGATACTCATGAAGTGGCGAACAATGTATTTTAATTTGTTGTAACTGAACTGTAATATTTTGAGACATCTGTTTTATCTATTATTTTTCATAAACAGTTCTGTTGCAAACAACTTAACCAAACAGGGGCAGAATGCAAACAGGGGCCAAACAGGGGCAGAATGATCATTTATCCAACAACAGCTCCCATTAAGCTGTTCTGAATAAACTGTCATAAACAACAAGCCAGTTTATTTTGATAATCTGCAGATTATCAGCAAATTATAAATAATCAACAGCTATCCCAAACAGACCCTAAACCACCGAGTAGATCTCTCCTAATTTTTAAAGTTAGTAGAGCTTAGAAGGAATTTAAACTTACGTTTGATTCGTAGGCCATGTTACTAATATTACTATGATATAGAGCCTAAAGTGAGGATTTGTAGAGGTTTTATGCTCTTCATTGACTATAAAAAGAGCCTCCCTCTATTTTTAAAATTCAATGAAGCTTCACTTTCCTCCTTATATAATTACCTAATCGCCTCACCAATGAAAGTTAAATATATCTTGGTAAAAGGAATAAGAATCATGATTACCCAACTTTTCTCCATTCAAATATATTGGACTTGTCCATGGGATTATTTTTTGGCAACAGTTTTGAGTTAAGGGATCACTCACTTAGCCTCTTAAAAGCTCAAGTGACGGAGCCATCGATTCAAATACCATAAGCCAGTTAGACAATAGTTTAGAGGTGGGAATCAATAAGGACAAGTTGAAAATATTAAGGCTTCAAAGGAGGAGTGCAACCAAGTGTTGGTCACTCATCCTTGACTTTAATTGTGATCGTTAGCATTGTTCCACCCTCTCCACCAGAAGAAGTTTCAGCACTTGCAGCAGGCACAATGATGCTACTCATGCGGTCAAAGGACCCGAAATAGTGCAAGTTCATCAGCAATATGGATGAAGTAAATCGTTTTGATTACCAAGAAGCTGAGAAGGACAGTAAATAGCCAACAAAAAATAGATCTATGCCAAAAAGGCAAAACGATTAAGCAATATGATTGAGTTGCAAACTCCGTAAAGTCTCATCAACAAGATTTTCATCATAAGCTAGTTGCATAAAAAGTCATGCTAGTCACAAAAAAGATCATCATTTTAATCTTCATTGACTGCCTATAACTATTAGAAAGCCGCTACATTTTGATTGGTGATATTTTTTACTAGCAAGATAGAAATGTTATTAGCAGTTTTCCGCTGGAACATTCAAGATCTAGCAGTTTTCCGCTTGAACATTCAAAATCTCACATATCGAGAGCTAGAGCTCAAAAATTGGGCAAAGAAAGAACGAAGAGGATTAAGTGCTACATCAAAACAAAATTTAAATTGAGTCCCAACAATGAGATCAAAATTTGTCAGACTTGTGATCATTTGAGTGCCATTCCTACAGCCACCAATAAAAGGGTGGATCGAGAACTCTCAAATTAACATGTGGATATCTCTAACACCAACACTTATTAGATGTGGAAAAAAGAATATTGTCGACCCAATCATTAGAATTAATCAAAAAAAGATGACAGCATAAAAGAAATTTGTTAGCTGTATTAGCTCATTAATATATTAAGAATTGATTTTGATGAAAAAAAAGAAATAAAATGGAAGGCTTTAATATTGAAAAATATATTTTTAAATGATTTAGAGTTGCAAGGATTACAATGAACATATTGACTACCGAGACAAAATGTTAAAAGATGATGACATTAAGCTCATTCAACATTCAACATTCAACATTCAACATGAAGAAATAGTATTTTGAGTATTATTATTTTTTTTTATATCTCAACTAGGCGCGCGCACACATACACGCGCATTTACAGACATATATACATATACATGTACATCAAAGCTTAAAGAAAGTTGACATAAAAATAAACAAGAGTATGAGGTCGCCATGAAGAGACCAATAAAGTAAATCAAAAAAATATTGAAAACATGGTGTAGGAAAAGGAAATAAAGTTAGGAGAAAAGCAATTCAAAGTTGAGGATGACGATTAAAGTGTGAGGAAACAAAGAATTCGATTTAATTCCCATATGAGACATTAAGCCAATTGGTTTTCTTTCTTTTTTTTTTTTCCCTCACACACTCAAGTAAATGCGCGCACACCACATGTATAAGATCTTGAACCCAAGACCTCTGGATTGAAAGACAGCACCAGACCAAGGCAGCCTTGTATTTAAGCAATTTGGATGTGAGCCGGTGTACGCATATTTTCGATTAATTCTCTTAAATGTCCAAATAAAATAAAAATTAATTGTCATTTTCAAAAAGGTAGCCCCACCTCTCACCACTCTACAATAATGTTAAGTAGGACAAAGTGAAATGTGTCATTTACAAGTAGAAGATTCATTGGACGTCAAACATCACCTTTATGGAGCATGAAAGAGTGATCAAGAGACTGTTATTGTGATGAGAATACCAATGACTTGTTGGCAGGTTTCCACCAAGTGATTTCTTATCTTAAAAAATAAGCAAAAATAGACTAATAAAGCAAAGAAAAATAAATCTCAACCAAAGTGGGCGTCGTTATTCTTCATCTTTTGTTGCGAACATTGGAACCTCCGTGTTTTAATGAAAGCTCCATTTCACACTTTTCAACTATCTTATTCTTCTCAGATTTTTTTAGGATGATTTATATATACACCACTCAATCTCTATGTATTTAAATATTAAATACCTAAACTTCCATTTTTAGATACATGCCATATTACCTATGCATGAAGAAAATGCATTTAACATTTCAAAATTTAATTAGTGGTATATTTGATTTGATATGAAGAATTTAAGTAATAGAAAAAAAAAACAAAGTTTTTTAAGTATTAGATATGTAAAAGTTACCTAAACAAGAGAACTGAATCCTCCTGTGAGGATTAATGGGTTCAGAAAAAGAGTGGTGACGGCTTAATCATGCAAGCTTCATATGAAAAAAGTGGTGACGGCTTAATGGGTTCAGAAAAAGAGCAAGGAAAAGATAAAATCCTCTATCAGAAAGATGAGCCTATAGAAAAAATAAATCCCTCCATGCTTGAATTCTACTAAAATTTGCGTCTTTTAACCAAGAAACATACACCAGCATGTAAACAACAACCAAAAAACAAAAAAAATCTGAATTCAAAAGTTTAGATAAAACTACTGTTTGAACATAATTGAAGCAACTTTTGAAGTTATCTGAAAGCACATGGAAGAATCATGCCGCACAATACCACAAAGCATAGTTGCAGCTTCGTTCAGCATAAAGTGAAATTAAAAGCTGATAAAAAGGTTTAAAAGTTAACAGAGACAAGATAAAGAGATCATCAGCGCACCTACACCATCCTTTCCAATTCAACCATCATAAAAAAAAAAGACGACTACACAGCAATTTTAGATTAAGATTCAATAATTGGAACGACATTTTGTTTTAAGAAAACAAAATGGATAAAATGAATACCTTTAAACTTCACGGGTAAACTGGAAAGCTTAAGTTTCTTCAAAGCCACCAGCCACATTTATAGCAGAAAAAAGGCGCAACTTTTTTCCAGATTCTTTGTATTTACATTAGATTTATATAGAAAAAAAGATCAGGCGTTCTGCATCTTCTACACAATGATTTCTCCTCTCTACTGAAATTGAACAAACAACTTGAATAAAGCTTATCTAAAATAATGTGGTTCTCACTAACGCCTCACAGAAAACTCACCTCTGTTAGACCTGAAAGGCTCTGCTTCTCCGGGTCCTATCAGAAGCTGAAGAAGCAAAATCTGAACTGGGACGAGAAGGTGCAGATCGACGTCTGCCCAAAAATGAGAACATATTACGAAATATCCGTCCAATTCCTCCTCTCTGTTGAGACCTATTATCTCTGGAAGCCCAGGAGATTCTCCTCGGTGCAAGGCCAGAATTAAACCCGCCGTCCATCTCAGTATAAACAACCGGCAGCTGTCGCTCCCCCGCCCTTATCCCCCCAGTAAACCTCCCAACTGCAAACCCTCCACCAGGAAGTCTCCATATAGTAAGTCCCATGGTTTCATCCTCGCCGACGGCTGACGGACTTCGGTCATCTCCGTGGTGCTCCGTCATTCCTCGCCCCCTTATATCAGTGGGCATCTCATGCCTGCACACCGGGCAGGAATTCCGCAGCGAGAGCCACGGCAAGATGCAATCTTGATGGTAGATGTGCTTGCAGGGCATCTCCCTCGCTTCAGCTCCGAGATCGAACGGTTCCATACAAACGGCACAGTTGCAATCTTGCGAAGCAGTGATCTCGATCGTCGGCATAGACTCGATAGCAGCCTTGGAAGCCGGCGGCTGCTCAAATCCGCGACCCGTAAGGCCATTAATCTCGATCTGCGCAAGCTGGTCTAGTAGCCGCTCCAAACCGGATCCCATCAGAAACCCAGACATATTCGCTGGAAGAGGACGAAGGCCAGACCCCGCCCCATCGTCGTAGTAGAGTTCAAAGCTGCTGTTCAAAGGGCGATCAGCGTCGCGGCCTCCACCGCCGTCAGAAGGGCCACGAAGAACGATCACAGGATTGAAAGGGGAGCGGTCTCCGGTTCCGTTTCGTCGGTGGCGGCGTATTCGAATGGGCTCGGGGTGGTTTTCTGGGGAAGCCCCATGGCCGCTGAGAAGATAACGGCGTGCGAGACTCGGTGAGGACTCAACCTCCTCGAGAAAACCACCATCGCAGTCGGGACAGACGATCGCATCCTGCGGCCAGACGCTGATGAAGCGACTGCAGCGGTAACACCAGTATGAAGATCCCGTCGCCATTACCGGAGAAGAAGGCATCTAAGACCTAGAACCGTTCTAAGATCCGAAACTCGATCCACTAGAATATCTTGATTTGTATAAAAGAGTGATAAAACTTCGGAATATAACCTAAAATTGATCGAAAAATATCTCCTTTATCGCAACTGATGATTGAGTATTTGAAGACGCAACACTGAAGAAAATAAATGGCGGCCGGAAGAAAACGAAGAGGCGGTGACAGAAATCAAAGAGCCACCTATCGGTTTCTCGAGCCGAAAAGAATTTGGAGAGAGAGTAATGTCTTGTGAAGAAGAGGGAGGGGTTTTTATGCGACTGCTCAGTACGGCAGGCCTGGCGGCTCGCTTAACGACGTTATGACGGTGCCAAATATTATTTGATATTGCGCTGAGACTTAACGGAACTCAAGGTCGGTCTCCGCCAGTAATCGTCGGCTCATTTGGCAGATAAAGGGTATAATCGTAGTTTAACGTTTAATAAATAAATAAATAAATAAATAAATAAATAAATAAATAAATAAATAAATAAATAAATAAAGCGCTTTTCCACTTTTCCATGCTTCCTCCCACGTTATGTCGGAATCTGCGAGCCTGGCGCACCCACGCGGTAGTGCGGGTCAATCATACGTAGATGGGGAAAGGAATTTCTTAATACTTTTTTTAATTTTTATTTCCTAAATAACACTCCAAAAATTATAATTTATTTATACCACACCAAAATTTTTTTTTTTTTATATAAAGCACATTCTATTTATCTTGAAGAATTGCATGAACATACTATCCTGGACTCATTTCTCCCAAATCTTTGTCATCATGGTCAACACTGGCATGAACATACTAAGTGTTGGGAACTTATTTCTCGGATTTGTGCTTGAGTTGACCTTAGGGTGTTTCTCTCGCAGCCACTTGGGCTCCTCCTCCATGCACGTCTGCCATATATATTGATCTTGCAGGAAGTCTGAGCAAGTGTTGATGATCTTATCCATGGTTGGGCCAACAATCCAGTATTCCATGGCACCGAATGTGGTAGAAGCAGGAGGGATGATGGAAGAGAGGACAAGAAGAAACTCGATAAGTTAAGGGTGATTTCCACCTCCCGGATCAATGGCAAAGAAAATTGTAGGGTTACGGAATTTGCTTTACATGTAAAAATCAAAGTTCAGATGTGACATAAGTAAATTTCAAAGTGTTTAGTACTATATATTTAAAAAGCTCTTAATTAAAATAAACTAATAATAATAAATTTGTATATATTTCGTCTCTAATGTATTTCTATTAAAAAGTTTAAGCTTTTTAACAATAAGTATAATGTTAATAACTTTAATATTGCTAATAACTGTCCCATTTGGATTAAATATAATGATGAGATTCTTTTTTTTTTCCTATTTTAGAAGTTAAATCTCAATACATTCATGGATATGTTAATTTCTCTTCTTCTATTAAGTTTTTTGTTGTTTTTATTTATGTTGATAACAGTGCTATTGTTAGAGTTTAGTTGTTAATAGTGCTACTAATATAATTGATTCATGGATTTTTTGGGTGATTTTAATTGTATTCTTAGAGTTAGTGAAAAGGTGGGTTGTTTTCCATCAATTACTTCAAAGCTAACTGAATTTAGTGATTGTTTTATCAACTCTAATATTTTTAAAATATAAAATACTAGTCACAAATTTAGTTGATTTAACAATCAAATCGATAATCAAATAAGGCGCCTTCTTGATAGAGCTTTCAGCAATGCTTCTTAGGTAGACTTGCGTCCATTTTTTTTTTTTTTGAATAATTCTACTTCAGTTATTCTTCTATTTTTATATCTCTGAAAGCTTCTTATGTTTTAAAACATAGATTTTAGTATAAAAATTATTGGAGTAATTATTTGGTTTTTAGGATGTTATTCATGAAGCTCGGAATGTCCACGCTAAAGGTGATCCTCCATTTTTCCTTTGCAATAAATTGAAGAATGTCAATGATGCTTTTAGCATTGAAATTGGAATAATTTCCATTACCTTTCAAATAATTTCAATGATTTAAAGTCCAAACTAGGCAATCTTTTGAATAGATTGAATATGATATTACTTACATTTACTTAATGAATTAAGCCTTTATCATTCAAGATAAACTTCATAATGCCATTTCTCTTAACTATAAATGGTTAAAACAAAGGAATAAATGTGAATGATTATCTAAAGGGAAAGATGAGGTCAAATTTCTTTACCAAAAGATAAAGAAAATGAAATCTGATATTGGAGCTGTAAGGGAAGAATACTTACCCTATTTATAAAGATTTTATAAACACAAAAAACAAGGAAGTAATTATTGTGCTTTGATGAGATTTTATTAATCATTTTCTTGTCATTTTGTAATGACCAATGAGCAATAAAATCGGAAAACTAATATATATATGAGAAAACTGTCAACATGAATCCTAAAGAGATCAAGCAGTTTGAGGGACTCCATTATCTTTTATAGATTTTTTTTTTGCAAAGGGTTATCAAATGACCAAGTAGTTTAGCTTGCTTGTCAAAAGAATCGAAAACCCTATAAAACCTAAACAGCCGGTCGAACCATCCGACCAACAAAATTGATCAAACAGAAGATAGCCGACAATTAGAACTAAAAGTCAGTCATATATTGTGCCCATTTGACACAACGATTCTTAAAAGTGACAGCTATTAATTTATTTGTATTAGAGAGGTAGTTATATTAACTATCATAGTTATGAAAAAAATGAGATACCCTCCAACTGTTGAGATAAATGGGACAGTGTTGTAATTGTATACTCAAGCTACTAATGGTTATAAATAGAGATCATTTTATGAATAAAGGTTGTAGACTCTTCTCTATGAATTCTCATTGGTATCGCGTATTTGTCTCCTTTTCTTTTTTCTTCTCTTCTTTCTTCATACTCCAAACTCTTGGAACGTGCCCACTATGACAATTTAGGATTCAACAATTTTATTATTATTATTATTATTATTAAAATGAGGGCCACGCCCTGCTAATCAATATGAAAAAAAAGATGCAATGAGAGGGTAACTAAAACACCATCATACAACAAATTAAACTATAACTTGACACAAAATGGTAGAAACGCACCTCAACACCTAAGAAAAAATGAGAACAAACACAAATTAAAAGAATAACCAAATAAAAAAAGTAAGACGATAACTCCTACTAACAAGATTAAAAATAAGCAACAACTTGTAAATAATGAGCCTCAGAAGCCTACAACAGAGATAAAAGCTTAAACCAACAAGAACTCCAAAGAACTATATTTGATCTAACCAGAGGTAGTCTGAGCAAACAAGAGTCTCTTTAGAACATTAACTTGATTATAAGAAGCATAAAAAACCAATTCCAACTGAGATCAAAGGAACATCTCCAAAAAGTAGGAATAACAAAAAAAAAAAAATATATCCGGGAGTTGGGAAATTCAATCAACAACTATAGGCTTTCTACGGTGGCGTAGGTTTACTTGCCTTGTCTTCTCTCCAAAAATTGCTTTGAAATTTCACTTCATCTCCACCAACGGTCTTTGTTGATCTCTCTTTATTATGAGTTGTTTCTTTTTTTAGGATTGGGTGTCTTAATGACATCGGAAATTAGCAATCTTGGGCTCTTTAAATTTATTTTGTTGAGATGCTCAATTCAATCATAAATATGTCAAATTTGGAGTTCATTTGACATTTTAAATAATGATCTAAAGCTTTCAATTGTGCTTCCATTTTTGATAACATTGGATCGTCTTGTAAAGACGATTAGTGTCCCATGTTCATAATTTTAATTTGAAAGAACTTTCGCAAAAAAACTTTATAGAGATTCATGCTAAATAAAATTTGTTTGACACATCAAAGATAAAAAAACATTGTTATTTACAAAGTCTAACAAGTAAATGATATTTTTGAATTGCTGAACGAATATATTTATGCGTGTTGTGATCAAATCATTGAGAAATTGATAAAAATGGAAAACATGGATTTGAGTTTTATCATTAATTTTGATGTTTGATGAAAATTTGAAAAATGAATGAAAGAGGGTGATAGATTTGTAAGTAGCAATGTCTCGAGTGCAATGTATGTAATTGTCCCAAAAATTATTGCTATAACATGAATGCATACACAAGTAAGAGACGGAATATAAAAGCTTAGAAATTTTTTGTATGATTATGAAGATAAAAAATCACAATGATAAGCTCATTTGAAAGTCTTTCTTTAATGCTAGTCAAAGATTATACATTGAGCGTGTACACATGAGAAGGGAAGAGATAAATATAAAGAAAAAAAAAAAATCTTTAAAGAAGAGAAGTTTGGGGATAATTCTTATTTTTAAAATTTATCTTTTAATCTAGTTTTATTTTTTTAACACATATACTAACTATATTTAATATAATTTATTTTTATATTTGTTGAGTGCTAGAAAATTCGCGGCAGAAAAGTAACATATTATCATCTTAGTATGGTACGAAGATTCAACACTTACTTAAAATGAAGAAAAACAACTAGAATTGACACTTGAAGTTTTTACATGGAAAACTCGTTCAAGGAAAAATCACGGGACCTAGCTGATGATTACACTTACAATTACTTCTTTTACATCTGGGAAAAGAGTTTGAAAATCTCTCAAGTTACAACGTTGACGCGTGAATGAACTTTTTGCTAGGAACTGATGGCGACCCACAAGGATTAGCGGCGGCTGGCAGGTGGCGGTCAAGAGCAGTTGACGACAGTCGGCGGTTGTCGACGACAATCATTGGTGCTTGATGACGGCTGACAGTGTTTGACGATGACAAGAGTGATATCAGACTTCAACTCATTCTCAAAGCTTCAAGATCTCTCTTCAGAGTTTATGCTTTCCTCCGACTTCAAGTTCTCTTCACCCCTCATGAAAAGAGTGAGGATCTATTTATAGATTTATGAGTGCGATTAATGTAAAAATATGAATTATTTTGATTACACGACTCAGAGGACTTCCTTCAATTAGACGATATTTTTATGGACATTTGAGTTTCTTAATGATGTTAGAATTGAGTGATCTTAGGTTCATTGTATTCGTCTTGTCAAGACGTTCGATTTTGCTATAGACTCGCCATAATCAGCTTCGTTTGACTTTTGAAATGTGTACAAAAAATCTATCAAAATTAGTTTAATGACTTGATCTAAGCTTGATTTTGTTTAGATTGGACTAGTTTTGGTAATATTGGGTTCTTCTCATTGAGCCGATTAGTTTGATTGTAATTTTGCAAAAATTGACCTCATGATGACTTTTT